CCCCCCCCCCCCCTTGTGCAATGTTGTTAAAACGATTTTGAGGTGAGGGCTTATCAAATAATATGTTTTCAACATTGTTAATGGGGGGAGGGGGGCATGCACGTGAAAAAGATCACCAAAATGTGAAGAGTCTCATTATTTTTGCACGCGATTGTAGGCTCAGATTCCAGCCGTTGTGTTCTCGCCACTCGTTAAGTGGGCGAGTGGCGAGAACACAACGGCTGGAATCTGAGCCTAACTCCAAACCGATCTGGCCATTTTATCAACATGATTTGAAATAAACAGTGACTAGATGATTAAAGATAAAATCATCCAGCTGTGAGTCTCGTGCAATGACTGAAATTATCCTGCTGTGTCTACTGTCTTTGTCCTGGCCTTATCCAAACAGCCACTGACAACTGACCGAAACGCATCACAAACATGCCCATGCACCCAGGGCTATTTTAGGCTATAAAGTATATCGTGTTCTCTGCGTAATCTCAATCTTAATCGTTTTAGCAGTTGGATACTTAATTGTACAAAACTTTAGAACTTCCACACATTGTCATTGGAAAGCGTTATTGCGTAATATTGCCTTAGTTTGCACACAATATATAACGCAATACCAATGTCAGTCAAGGTTTATCTATAAACTTAGGCTACGTTTTATACACTTGTACCGATACAGGTGTCCGTATAGAGACGTGAAAAACGCTTATCCGTGCGTTTTAGGAACGCTATTTTCAGAGGAATTATTGCAATAGAGAGATGTTGTTTCGCTCAGTTTCTGAAAGTTGTATATTCCGTATTGGCTTTTTGCACCGCTACAAAAAGCTATATCCGGTATAGTGTAGACGTAGCTAATTGTGCATGTCAGCAATTTTCACGCCCACATTTCCTTGCGCTGCGAAACCACCTGCTTTGATATGGCCGGTCTGGAATATATTAATTTGCCATTTGGGATACTTGATAATACTGTAGTTTTAAAAGTTGTGTTATAAACAAACTATCAAAACAACCGGTCTTTTGATCATCTCAGCCAGACTTTGTTCGAGAATGTGCCTTGTTCGAGAATGTGCCGATCCTTTCTAATTGCATAACCAATATTTTTAATCTTTCATTCTGTATATTTTAATCTTTTCTTTTCATTGGGTATATTTTGTCTTCTAATCTTTTATTTTTTAAAGATGCTGCAAAGTCCGTTCTGCGCATCACGGCATCAGTTCTGCTCCGTAACAAAGAGGGACCCGCATTGCCCAAATTTTGCATCTTTCGTCTTTCGAATTTCTTTGAATTGCCTGGATCAGTGGCGATATCTCCAGCAAGGAGGATACACATAACACATATTGTCTTCAAGCGTTGTACACAATATTGCCAATGTTGTTGTTGTTGTTTGCGATGTAATGTATAATTGTCAATTCTTGACTTGCAATGATGTGGGCGACGGCCATGTTGGTCCCCTCTCAACAAACGAATCTCATTAACTTCTTTTGAATTTAGCACCAACATGGCCGCCGTGCCATTGTCTTTTAATTCTCAAGGGATTGATTGCAAGTCAATGGGTTATTTTAAAGACCTCTTGTCGCATAGGCGTACGGGCACATTATTTTTTTGGGGGGGGGCTGGGCTGAATTTGCCCGAATGACATGACGTCATAGATTTTGTGACGTCATCATAAAATTATATAATCTAAGAAGACTACAAATGAAAGGCTTTCCTTTGAAGTCTTTGAAGATTGATATAAAAAGAAGTCCCTAGCCATTTCAATTATAAGCTAAATATATGGCATTACGAAGAGAAAGTTACTAACGTAACATTTTTTGGTATAAAATGGGTAATTGGACAAGTACTGGTGCAAGACATTGTGCAGCCTAAATAATGAGAGGACCAGCATTCCAAAAATTGTTGTTCTTAATTTCTTAACTCCGACTCCTGTGATGAACATGTACGTAAAAACCTAGGGAAATTACGATCATATAGAAACTAAAATAGGTGGAAATTTTATGGGACACGATAAAAGGCGAGGCCAGGAGCAAGAGATTAAAGTTGTGGAGGAAGGCAACCCTGTCCGCGTTTCGACCTAAAGATGGTGTAACATTTTCACTGTCCATCACCGTATTCTGTTCACTATTTTCTCTGAGCTGTGACAGTGAATTTAATTCATCAACATCAATGAACGTTGTCATTGGTTCCGTTTGGTCTTCGCTCATGGGTTCCTTCACATTTTTCTCAGATAGATCTTCATCAAAAGACACTGTGACTGCAGAATCTTTACTACCACTCGATTCAGTTCCAAGTAGGGTTAGGTCATACTGCAGGTCATCAGTCCTTGATTGTCATGTTACTTTTTACAAAGAGAGTATTGATTTTCGACTGGAATGAATCCGATGATTCCATCACTGGATGGCATTTTACTTTTTTACCATTGTGAACTAATCGAGAATGCACCTCTTTATAATCACTGTCAATTTCCTTATTGCATTCCTCGCACCAAACGCGATGTCGGTACTGTCTTTTACGATATGCCATTGTAATCTTCTAGGCGATTGTTTCTATGGCGATCGTGGAGTTAATGGTCGTAAAATCAACAATTTTTAAATTATTGTAAAAAAATCGCGCACTTCTATGTCTATCTAAAAGTCTAAAATTAGTCACATTAGGTCATTGTACAGTATTTGTACGGTTACGTCAATGTCAATTATAATGTATAGTATCTATTTTCAATCAGTGACTGGTGTGTCATTGCCGCGGTGCCGTCCAGGGCCAGAGACTGTATTTAGCAACCAATTCTATCCAGGGAGATAATTCTATCAAGGGAGATAAACATTACTGATCCGATTGTTACTACGCACACTTATACCACACCTTCGCAATATGTGCAGCTTATACTATATACTTATATAGTTTAATAGTTGTATAGCCTACATTATGCTAGGTAAAACTGCTGAATATAGACATGAATACAGTAGTGACATAGCAATTGTTCCTTCGTTCTAGCCGTTTCTGTGGGGATTTACGTCTGTGGTATGTGCGGAAAAATCAAAACCAAATCCGATTAAGTTAGAGCACTTGACCTTTAAATTAATAAAGGTTAACCTGACGCAACATGCTTGAATCCAGCTATGCGATCTATGGTAGTAATAAATATACACAAACGTTGCCATTACAGATTTACAGTGCATGATTGAACCTGCAGAAGTTGAACTTTTTGAAATAATACTTCTGTTCCGGTTTATGGATCAATATATTCGTCTAATCACCAGACCGTTGTTGCCCGAATGACAAGACAATTTTTGCCCGAATAGATAAATTCTCAAAAATTTGGGGGGGCTGCAGCCCCCCCAGTCCCACCCTCCCGTACGCCTATGTCTTGTCGCAACTTAATCGTTAGACTTTCCAAAGTCCTTTCCAGACCCTTCTATGGCGCACTTCGCTTCCTCTGTGGAAAGGACTTTTGTCACTTGCAGCGCGCCAAATATCACCGGTGGAAAAATCCACCGGTGACGTCATTGTTTACATTGCCGATTTGCCGAAGCGGTTTACATTATTATTGTATCACAAATTATATTCTCAGGCTTTCTTGTTGAACAAATGCAAATAGAGTAAACAATGTAATTACAATTTTGTAGAACACAAAAACCATGTGAAAATACACATACAAGCATTACATTGAGTAGGCTATATTTAAAAGTACAGGTTGTCGAAATAAACTTTATTAATACTGTCACGTACCGAAGATGCATCTAATGATTCTAAAATTTCCTCACTAGTTTCGGGTTTAGTTTGGGTTTCTTGATCTCGATTACAGATTATTAATACAAAATCGTTTGTTGAGAAAACAACGCGTATTTTTACCGGATTTTGAACTCTGGCGAGTGGCGACGTCTTCTCGTTGATCACAATCGCCGCCTCTCTGCTTCGCGGTTACAGCTAGTTGTCTGATTCTTTTCAATTAGATTAACTTCTACTACTAATATTAAATCGCTCGCGAACTGAATCAACTTTCTATAATAAGTCTAATAAATTACTATTCTTGTCGGCACAATTACGGCACACATTGTTAGACAAAACAACTGTCTAGATTCAATAAGTTTTTACATGCACTCGTTTTTGTTGATACATTGAACAGCTTTCGGCGCTTACTTGGGTCAGTTATTTCGTTTCCACACTCGGTGCAAACTGTTTCATTCGAGGACAAAGAAATATCAATTCTTGGGAATGTTTTTGTGTTTTTGTAGACCCATTGTCGGCGCGGTGAAGTAATTGTATGAAATGTACACACCCCTTTTATGTCAAAATTATTCGCGCCAAAATTTTTAATGCGATTTAAATTCCTGCAAGGGACACAAGTCGACCACTCGCGACTTCGTCGCTCGGGTCGCGTGTTCCCGCGCCCTCCCTCCCCCACGGTCGACTTGTGGCAAGTCTACTTAATCGTGTAAAAACGTGATAACTTATAACGTTGTCTCAATTTCAAATAGTGGCAATCAATTATCACCCTCTATTAAATCCAAATATATTCAGTGCTATATATCAGTGAAACACCCAACTCCGTACCAATCTCGTTCCCCGAGCATGCCCGTTCGCAGGTTAAGGGTGGGCATTGCTCTGGAGAAATCGAATTGATTCACGTTGAATTTCCAACGTGAGTTCTACGCATGCTCGGCAATGTTGCAAAATATAAATAAAGTATTTAGAATTTCGCATATGTACGAAAGCTTCGGTTGGATAGGGATACAGCTACCTGAAAAATACAAAAATACTTCGTTTCGAGCGCGTACGATCTGTACTGTTAGTGTTTGTATACATCGTACTTGACCTTTGCTGATAAATATAATCTCCTCAATAATAAGTATTATATATTTTTATGCTTTAAAATTTACATTTAACTCTTTTGTCAGAATTTATGGTATACGTAGTGTTAGGTATGACAGTATATAAAAGTATATATCGAAGCTCCTTCGCTCGAAACGTCGAAGTTCTCCTTGTATTTTTCAGGTAGTTGTATCCGTATTAATCCGAAGCTTTCGTGCATATTTCCTCCAGAATTTCTAGTTGTTTTCAATCGATTTCGGTGTAAAAAGTATCAAATTTTCGACGAGAAATTCCAAATACTTTGTTTATATAGAACTCACGTTGGAAATCCAACGTACTATCTGCCGTTAGCCAATCACAGGCCTGAATCAATTCGATTTCTCCAGAGCTATGCCCACCCTTAACTTGCGAACGGGCATGAGAATTGCGTTGGCAGTCACTCAACCTTGGTTATTTCCCAACACAACATGTATTTTATTTAAACGATGCATACACATTTTTCTGGGCAGTTATTAAAGGAAGCATTTGTTTCCGAAGAAACTCCTCCTCCAGTCCTCCAACCTCCTCCCCCAAATTGCGGTGTCCGCGCCAAACTTGGCACGGACACCGCAATTTTGAAAAAGGTCAAGCCGTAAAGGGACAATATAAATGCCTATCACTATACTTCAGTCTCGCTCTTTTGTGAAAATTGATAATAGTTAACTATAATTTTGTGTTTCTCAACCGCCAGATATACCTTTAAAAAGGTTGTTAATTGTCTAAACTAGGAGATAAAGCTAAAACAAAGTAATTTTTAATTTCTTATGTTTAATTAAATATAACTGTTTCAGTGAACCGACTGAAACAAAATCACCCGCTGTGATTGTGTATATTGTATAACATTCCGAGGCAAGGTGCCAAGAATTAACATCAGTTCGATGTCAACATCATATGTGACAGGTTGTACAAAACGGGGAATCCCCGTGTGCTCAGCAACCTCGTTCCCAGGCTCTTCCTCCTATTATAAACATGGTTGTTGGGAAGTTTGCTTCGAATTCTAAATTGTTTCTTCCCTATTTTTAACTTTTGTTACTGCCGTGCGTAAAAGCAATACATATGGGGCAAAAGATAATTAGAGCTACACTTTATATGAATAGGGTATATACTCCAGCGTTTCCATGCTGGGGAGTTTCTTGAAATCTTGATATTGCACGGTAATATTGTAGTCTAATTATGACATCGTTATCTATAACAGCTGGATACTGTATGTAAAATATTCCTCTGTTGTTGACTTTGGCTAATTGCTATAGAATAGGTTAGAACGTGTTTCGTGCCATGGGGTTTCAACAATTTTGGATGCTTTTGTCCAGGATCAAAGCATCTCCCGGCAGTAAACGTCTCTAATACAAGATATAATCTTAAATAAAACTAACATTGGACCAATATTATGCTGATAAACGTCTGTAATTTTTGCATTGCGTGGTCGGTCGTTCAAAAGCCTAATAAACGTCTATAATTTTTGTATTGCGTGGGTCGGTCGTTCAAAAGCCTAATCCTAGTTCAAACAATATCTTCAAAGCAATCTTCCCAAAAGCTTGTTTATAAACATGAAAACACATTTTTCTAGAAATCTTGTCTGGCCAGTCTGGGTCAACGCGGAAGTTTTATATTTTCTGAAATAAAATGAAATGCAGAATGCCAGAAATATACGAGCCAGAACAGCATTTATTAGACCTAAGAAAAGTGCAACTATACATGCCCTCTGGCACGAATCAAACCTACAGCCCTGTGCAACGGGGATTCAAAGCTAGATTAGCTCTATAATCCTGGGTTAAAATTTAACCTACTGTTTTAGTTCATGTATTCCTGCGCGTCTGTTCGGTTTCAAAACTTCAGAGAAGAAAACTTCTACTGATCCAGACAAGATTTCCGAAGAAATGTTTCCAAATTTATAAACAAGCTGTTGGAAAGTTTGCTTAAAATTCTAGGTTAACCAAGGGATAAGCTACAGTAATCGCCTTTCGAGCAACCAGCCCTGAGCTACAGAGTCCAATGATCGCGGTGAATATATCAGGATCCTGATTCCGTCTAATAAATGTACATTTCCATCGACAAAACCCTTCTACATTTATATCAACTACCCGCCTTCGATTCGAATTTAATTCTTTAAATAGTTTTTAAACAGATTTTAAATTGTTTCTTCCCTATTCTCAATTTTTGTTACTGCCGTTTGAAAAAGCCATGCACGCGAGGCAAAAAATAATTAGATAAATAGATTTTATATGAATAGGGTGCGCAACTACAACTGAGATAATCTGTCTCTCTTACAGCCATATAAAGCAAAACATTGACTTCTTTCTCTGCTTCTTTGTTGCAGATATATTAATTGTTGTAAAGTAGTAGCAGGGTTTAAGGGTAGTTAGAAGCATCGCAAGATGAGTAAAAAAAGATTGATTTGCCACAAACCACTCTACCCAACTAATAGGATATTGAGAACATGTCTTTATTTTACAAAGTTATACACACATAAGTGTGTAGAAAAAGAAACGAGACAGGGTTTCATTAATTTTGGGTGATTTTGTCCAGGATTGAAGCATCTCCCGGTAGCAAACGTCTCTAATATACAAGGAATAATCTTGGATATAGAACAAATATTGGATTAATATTATACTGATATAATGATGAACGTATTTGATAATATTGCATATGTATAGTCTAATTAAGTTGCAAGTGCACATGGATGTGCATGGTCTATATAAGGAATCGTAGGTCACACAGGTCATGCAGTACACGTATAACGGAAACGATTCATGCAATTCGCCCACAACGGCAAAGCAGCAAACGGTATAAATTATAACAAACTTTCCTACACAAACACCGTATTTCCAGTATTGAGAACTTGTGTTTATTTTACAAGTTGAGACACAAGTGTATAGAAGAAACGAGACAGGGTTTCAACAATTTTGGGTGATTTTGTTCAGGACTGAAGCATCTCTCGGCAGCAAACGTCTTCGTCTATATACAAGGTATAGTCTTTAATATAGAACAAAAATTGGACTAATATTATCGGTTGTTCAAACGTCAGTCAGCATAATCCTATAGGTTAACAAAATCTCCAAAGTATAATCTTCCATGCAACAGCTGTAATTTATAAACATGGAAACATTTTGCCACAAATCTTGTCTGGGTCAACGGAAGTTTTATATTTTCTGAAGTTTTGAAATAAAATGCCGAATGGCCTGCGATTCCTGTGCAACGGGGATTCAAAGCTAGATTATTAGCTCTTTATAATCCTCGGTTAAAATTTAACCTGCTGTTTTAGTTCATGTATTCCTGTACGTCTGTACGGTTTCAAGACTGTATAGAGAAGAAAACTCCTACTGATCCAGACAAGATTTCTGAAGAAATGTTTCCAAATTTATAAACAAGCTGTTGGGAAGTTTGCGTAAAATTCTAGGTTAACCTAGAGTAAGCTACAGTAATCGCCTTTCGAGCAACCAGTCCCGAGCTACAGAGTCCAATGATCGTGGTGAATATATCAGGATCCTGATTCCGCCGAAATTTCCATCAACAAAACTCTTCTACATTTATATCACGTACCTGCCTTTGATTCGAATTTAATTCTTATAATTTTTAAACAGATCTTAAATTGTTTCTTCCCTGATTTTCAATTTTTGTTATTGCCGTTTGAAAAAGCCATGCATGCGAGGCAAAAAATAATTAGTTAGATAAATAGATTTTATATGAATAGGGTTGCGCACCCTATTCAATATAAACTCCATTTATCTAATTAGTTTTTTGCCTCGCATGGATGGCTTTCAAAAGATAATCTGTCTCTCTTACAGCCTTATAAAGCAGAACAATGACTTCTTTCTCCGCTTTTTTGTTGCAGATATATTAATTGTTGTTAAGAAGTTACCCAATATAAGGTTTATTTTAAGAATGTACATACAGGGTAGTTAGAAGCATCTCAAATGGTTTTTTTTTACCTGAATTTGATTTTTTTTAACGTTAAAAGTCGTCAACTATGATAGACTCTATAAATAGTATACAAGACAAGGGTTACAACAAGCCAACACAAACAGCATAAAGCACTACATCGGCATGACAGCAATACTGCATGAAGCACCTTTAAAGAGCGATACCGAAACCACATTAAATCTTTACTCACAAGAAATACTGAAATGATACGGAACTTTGCCCTAAACATATAATATAATGGAGAGAAAATTTCCTTAAGACATCTACAGGGAGTGGACATTATAAAGCCATAAAGGATGATATATCCAGGAGTGAAAATTTGCCTAAAGATGTGTTCACCTTAGCTGATTAGGACAACTCTATCAATTACATTATTTAAATAGTTATTCATACAAAACATTTTAATGGACTATAACTATAGCATGCAGAATAAAAAAATATTAACGATATGATATTTTCCAACATCTATAGGTAATCCCC